TGTTAAAACACTGTATTTCACGATTTGTCAGCAGAAAAAATTGCCGGTTAGAGTCTGAAACAGAAAAGTATGGAAGACGCCATATCATTGACCTCAGATATCCCTTACTCCCAACGAGTTGACCAATACCAGTGCCTTGGGATGATAAATTGTGTATGTTCTGATAGACTTTATTACGCCGAATACCACTGGGGTTACAGTAAAATTGCCATAGCTCACCACTGGAACAACACGCAAGGGCAACACATGCATTTTGGGTACTTGGAATTGCAGAAGCAATCAAAGAATTGAAAGAGCTTGAATCAATAAAATTCATTCCATGCCTATCACGTTGTTGCTGCCTGTTTGGGGTGGGGTTGCCGTCTATAGGTGAAGAAGTCACCAATGATTCATCAGAAGATGCAGAAGAGGTAACAGGAGCAGTTCCCATATCAGCAAAGATGTCAGACCAGTATAAAACAGCTCGAGTTTTTTGGTTACACAAACAATACCAGCAGCATGCAATGGCTTCCGCACTGTTGTTAACTTTTTGAGTGCTACCAATTGACAACAGAAAGCAACCAATTATTATTGTGATAAGGAATTTCTCCCAAGATCTGATTTAAAACATCAGAAGAAGTCAAGAGTAATACATTTCTTTGAAGCTGGGAATGACAAATAACTCAATTAAAATTTTGTTTCACATATAATCACGATAGCATGTTCCCTTATTCCATTCCACCCGATATACAAGTCATCTGCACAAATTACACAGAAGCATCAAATAGCTTTTTCAAAGCAACCATAGATCTGTATAGTTAATCATAGGAGCCAGCAATACGGACAGGAACCGCTCTGCAGAAAACGGTCTTTCATTCATTGAACAACTTGGAAATACTTCTCCAACAAATACGCTTATTGTATCGATTTCATCCTTTGTCATATCTGTTTGCTGTTGGAATTCTGGGTACAAGGGGACCGAAAAGATTAAATATAGTACTAACCAAGACTTTAAGCCACAAAGACACAGAAAGAAAGTGAATTTATAAACTCCTGTTCAGATATATAAAAACATTATAAGGCAAAAGCTTGATGCAGGAGCAGTACAAAGGCATAGAGCTCTTTTCTTTTTCAGATTTCCAAATTTTTATTTTTTAAAAAGTAAGGATTTCAGTAGGTTAATTGGTTTTTAGCTGGCTGCTAGGAAATGAAGCACTGGAACCATATGACATTTATCCTTCAGGAGGTTACTTTGGTTCAATGACAGGTTAGAGTTTGGAATTCTTTCTCTTTAAGTTTAGATGTGGTTCTAAAATTAACCCCTAAGGGTTCTTTCTCTCTAATCTCCTACTCATCTAGCCACATATTTTCTTTCCTCCATTCTTTTCTATTAATTTCAACAATAATCCCTGATCAGGCCTACACCAAGGCATAAATTATAGTATAGGTTGAAATGTAAGCCATCCTGCATCACAGCCAAAGCATGCTTAGCCAACACATAAAAGCTGGTCGGAAATGTTATTCAATGAGACATTAACATAAATTCCTCGAGAAATTTTTAACGAAATACAGGGGAGCGAGGCCAATCACTAGTCACTTTTTTTCTTGAAAGACTCAAATTTTCTAATATTACAAAGCATGATTGCAATTCGCAACCACGCCTGCATCCATTAGATATCGCCATCCACAAGAAGGAACAAACTAAATTGTGAAACTACACCATCCACAAGAAGGAACAACCTAAATTGTGAAACTAATCCTAGCCTTCACTCCTTAAAGTTTCCAGCAATAGATTCTTCATTTCTTAAAACTCGACAGTTCATCTTCTTGATGGTACATTCCCACATTTCTTCAGTTTAATTCAAGGAGCCTAATTTCGAAATATTACTTATAGAAGAAACCTTTTTCGAATCGAAATGCAAAGACAAAATTATGACCCGAAAGTCAAATTCAACTCCAACTATCTCCAAATCATAAGATTCTAGCTCAATGAATAAGGTCAAAAAGGAAAGTCGAATAGTACCTAGCAAGAACAGACAAGCGAGGAGCCCAAGGAGCGGGAGTGCCAGTGCTAGGGCGATCGGGAATCGAAGCATGCCGCGCTGATTTACGGTTCTCAGTAAGTGGAGTTGCTGGAGAATCCGGTACCGTTAGATTTTGCCCTACAGTTCTCTCCTTCCTTGAGCTTAATTTGCTTCTCTTCAGTCCGGGAGAGAACATTTTGTTTTAATTTTGCTCTTTAGAAGAAAAAGAATAAATGGAGAAGTTTAGGGTTTATGAGGTTTTTCATTAGGTGTGCAAAGGGACTGAGGTTTTTGGGCGTTTCGGAACTGTCAGAATTTTGGAATGATTTTGGTTCAACCAGACCTGCTCATGGGCAGGGTTGCCTTCGGGTCTGGCTTGACGTTTTAATATTTTAAATAAGTCCAGATCTAATTCGTTTCAGTCTAATTTTTTTATCTCATTTTTGTCTAAATTTATTTTTACAAATAATAATAAAATTTAAACCCTTTAAAAGTATTAGTATTTAAATTTTAAAAAATATAAATTTTTATAAATTATTAATTTAATTAATTTTAATTAAATTTATAAATTATTGATTTTGGGTCTAATTTAATTTTATTAAATGTAATTTAAAATATATTATTATTTTATAAAAAAATAATCATATTTAATATATAAAATTATTGATAAGATAGTATATTAATTATTTTATATTATATTTGATTTATATTTAAAGAGATAGATAAAAATTGTAAGAAAGATAATATTTTTTTGGTATAAATTATTTAATCATTCTTAAGTGAAAAAAATTATTTTTATTCATAAATTAAATTTACATGTTTAATTATACATTTAAAAATTTATCAATAATTTAAATTATATAATTTTGAAAAAAATAATTTTGACAAATAAATAAATATCTTATCTTAATATTTATTATTATCAAATATAAATAAAATAATATTATTTAATCTAATTATATTTATAATAATATATTTATTTTATTGGATCATAATTTATGTATCAAATATAACAAATAAATTTATCATATTAAAGAATAAAATAAATTGGACTTTTTTATTATAAAAAATATCAAACAGATTTATTTAATTATGATAAAAAATAATTTTGTAATTTTGAATTGAACTAAAACATATCCGAATCTTAAATAATGAATTTAAATCTAATTTTATTTTTTGGTTCGAATATTATTATTTATTCAAACTAATTTAATAAGTGTAATATTTATATCTAAACTTTTCAAAATTTCTTTCTCGAGCTTTTCCGGGTTTAGACGGATAATCCAACGAGCAGGTCTATATTCAACAAGGGAGAGATGATCGCATGAGGTCTAGCTCATGGTTTTCCGATTTATGGATTCGATTTGAACCGTCCGATCGGCAATATTTGGAACTCAATCCGATCAAAAATAGTGCCTACTACCACTACAGTTCTACTCTACCCATCCTTTTGACATGTCAGATCAGATGCATCCACGCCACGTGTCAAACAGATTCTAGCTCTAGTATGTTAATGATCAGAAAAAATGGGCTTTAGCCCTTCTGTTGATTACTCGAAATGTTACGATCCGGCAATCTAAAAGCAAAACATTAAATTACGATGTAACGTGAATTTATATGAAAATAAAATATAAAATAAGTATAATTTAAATTTTTAATAATTATATATAAATTTAATAAAATTAAAAAATATATTATATATTTTTATATCAATATAAGTAATAATATATAACTTTTATATAAAATATAATATAAATATATAAATTTTAATATTTTATATAATATGAATATATATATTTTTTATGAATTTTTTTTAATAAAATTTGTAAACTATTTTGATTTTAATTATAAATATATTTGTAATTAATTAAGTTAAGATGATAATTAAGACTTAATTCTTGATATTTCTCTAATACTTTCCATTTTTATTTAAATGTCCTTTTTTTTTTCAATTTTAACTTTTAAAACATAAGGTGTAAAAAATGATTTCCCCTAATAACAAATAATAACATCAAAACACTGTCAACTTTTTTTTACCATTTAAACTAAAAATTTAATAGTCTATCAATAATAGCACTAAAATTTTAAATGAATCTATTATGGTTGGTCAGAAATAAAATTCTTACAACGGGTGAGAGTTGTTTCTTTCTTTATCAGAATAAAAATTTATTGTTGAAATCAACAATTTTCTTGATCTGCAGGGCCAGACTAGCCTACCACGTTGGGTACAAATAAAGTGCATTATTATGTTCTGTCAGCATCGTTTGATAACACCTACCAATTTGTTCAAAGCCTAATCACATTATAAAATCGGCTAAGGATTAAGAAAACAAGTCTTTATCTTGTTAAGAACATCCAGGACATCAGCGGGAATGAGATTACCCCCTAAATTGGTAGGAGACCCAATAGAGTCGGGAGTGTTACCATTTCACGATTAATAATTTCCAAGTTCCAACTCAAGTTAAGTTGTGATAAAAACAGCAGATTCTCTCCAGATAACATGAATGATGAAAGAAAGGCACACCATCATTCATCAAAACCTCCTTGCCTAGAAAGACCACAATGAATATGTAGATTCCAAACATACAAATAAAGATTTTTTTTCCACAACCATATTATTTTCATGTATTATGCATAAATTCTTCCGTTAACAAGGGAAATATGCAGCACTTTGGGTTCAACTGTTCAGAAGCTTTTCAATTTGTACACTTTATTGAAAATTTTCACAGGCAATAAGAGCAGAGAATGCCCAAGAGTGAAGTTCTTCAATAAAGAACCAAATATCACCATTTCCTTGAGATGAACATAAATGGTACTATGCTTCATAGAACAAGTCGCATGATATAACACTATAAAATCAACAGAAATATATTAAAAAAAAGGCTTGTATATGTAAAAGAGTTCTTGAAGGAAGAACTATCAGCAACACCTTGAGAGATTTAAGAAAAAAAGTTTAGTTTTTCCCTACTTTTGCTCCCTCAACAAGAAGAAAAAACTACATATACGTACATAAAATCATATTTTGCAATCATGCTTCCAGCTTCAAGGAAACAACACGTGACTGTCTGTTGCGCTTTGCCACCTTCACAAAGACTGCTGAAAGGCAAGAAGGAGCCCACCATGGCCTGCGAACTTTTTGCTCTCCTTTTAGGCAAGCCACTGAAGGATACATTTTAAATTTATCAATTAGTAAGAAGCATATTTAATTCTTAGAATGACTTCCTCTTGTTTAAGCAGACAACAAACAGAGAAGAGCTCCATCTGTTTAAGAATGCATGCAAGACATTGTTTTCTTGACTAGCTATCCAAATATCATCAAACCATTTGAAAGATAAGGCATACCGTAGACTACAGCCATAGCCAGTGTCTCTCACGTAAACAGGTATCATAAATCTAAACCAACCAGCATTCCTATTTTATCAATTCATACACAAAAGGCACTGCTCCTAGTCTTGGTTACCAGAAATTGTTTTTTGATGAGAGTGGCAAAATGTTTCAGCTTCATAGGTAAATGATGCAACTGTAATGCCTGGCTGCTAGACAAATAATGCATGCAGCAGATAAAAGCTCCTGTGTTTTAAAATAGACTGCAATTGAAGAAATACTACTAACAGAAATATGTCGCTTACCATAAGAACACTAAGGAATAATCAAGCAAATTTAAAGATTGAACTTCCAAACTTAGAGAGGCAAAACCTTCACCTATAGGTAGATAGATAGATAGATAGATAGAGAGAGAGAGAGAGAGAGAGAGAGAGAGAGAGAGACCTTTTATTCGTCTGAGTTCCTTGCATAGTGTGATGAAGTCTCCCCACTTCATATGGCATCGCCTTATAAAGCGAAGAATCTGTTCAGTTGTGAACATAGACATGCCTTCTAAGTATTCCCCATTGACACCATTTTCTTTGAAAATCTGGCGGTAGCTACCAAGATTTATCTCTTCCAACCACATACCAACATCCTGCCAGAATAAAAAGATTGCAGTGCAAAAGCATGTCATTGAATCAAAATGTCCATATCAAAAGCTTTTCATGTAAAGTCATGAGTAAAACATGTTACTAAATCTTGACTAATGGCTCCAAGAACTATTGTTTACTTAACATCATAAAGTAGGTAAACAAACTTTTGCAGTATTTTTCGCTAGTAATGGCTCAATTTATGCACACATTTACTATGTTATTCTACTTTTATTTTTTGAGGTTCATGTGTTACTCAAAATGATTACATTGGATGTATCACTATCAGTTTATCCATCATTCTTGAAAGGAATTGATAATGGTTGAAGAGAAAGAACTCAATGCTTTTTACATTTCCCATGTCGATCCTTCAGAAGTTTACACCAACAACAACAGTGCATTTGTTGCTATATTTGGTTCACCAAAAAGCATAGTCTGAATGCCTTATTAATTAACAAGCACATACAAGTCTTCCAAGGAGGATGAAGATGTATAAAACATATGTCATGCACCTTTCAAAAAGTTATTAAGGCATTCCAAGCAGATCAGAAATATGTTGTTAAGGTTGGACAGCAAAGATATATGAAACTTCATTTATCCACTCAAAATAACCTCACAATGACCTTCATAAACTACTTTCAATAAGGATGCTCGTCTCTACAAATGCAAGTTTTGACACAGACCAAAAGAACAGTAGAGAAGATTCCGCTAAGCTATAAACGTGAAACCACATATGTAGTAATAAGAAACCATACTACTATAGAGGAAATAGAATAACCACAAAACAATATCAACACGTCTAGCCCATAACTAAACTAATCATTCCAACCATCCAACAGAAAGAGGGCGAAAATGACAACCTTGAACAAACACTTTCAGATGAAATGCAACCAGGTCATAAATAAACAAGATGGCAGACTCATAATCACCTAAATCAGAGGCAATAGCAATTATGATTGTTCATCAAAATACAAATATTCTCTATACCTGGAGATAGTGAAAGAGAGATTGAAAACACTGGTCCAATAGAGAAACACTAAATAAAAAATGACAACAAGAAAACCAAATCAAAAACTCCTTAGTCAATACCCAATTTTGATCATGAGTAAAAGGCAATAAAATTTATCACCTTTTCGTCAATTCAATTCACTTTTAGAGTTTCCAATAATCAAAACAAAGAAACCAAAATATTACAATAAATAAATGATTGCAATTTTTGACAATCAGCAAAACCCATTTTTTTCTTAAATATTATTTTTAAACAATTTAATCAAATTGAGTGAAGAAATGTCACCATCAAAACTCCAACTGAAATTTACAATTAGTTAGAAAATCCCCATTTAAATAGCAATACTAAAATCTCACACAAAGAAAAACTCAAGATCTAAACTTTACATGAACAAGGATCCAAATAAATCAAAACTAAAAATATATATAATATAAAAAAGAAAGAAATACCTCGACAGTCCAAATGAAGAAATCGAGTGGCTCAGGCGGGTGTTCTTTGCTCATCTCTTGTATTATTTCAACAAAATTCACCTATTATATTTACCACCAATTTCCCATCAAATTTTACCGCCGCTTAACGAAAATCAAATTAAAAGAAAAAAAAAAAAACAAAACTGTCCCTTTGATTCCGGGAAATGAAAAAAAAATAAGTAAACTGGAGAACAACAGGTTTTGAGGTTAGAGTGACAGATGTTGAGATCCCAATCCTTCTCTTTTTTTTTCCGTTTACTCTTTTTTATTTTTCTCGGGAAGCAAACACCGTAGTAATAGAGGAAGAAAGAGAGAAGTGAAAAGCAAAAAAAAAGCGTACCGTGTGGGAAGGCAAAGAGAGAGTGAGGATTTTAGGGTTGGATTTTTTTTCCTATAATTGAGATTTTTTAGGAATTGAGATCGAAAATTATTTGAGAGAGAGAAGAATTGTGTTGTAATTATAAATGAAAAAATAAAGAAAAGAGAGAGAGCGAGTAACAAGTTGGTTTACGTACTCCCACTGTTGGCTTAAGCTTTTGTTTGTTGTTATGGGTCATCGTTTCACTCATTATTAGTTCAAGATTGTATGCTATGCAAAATTGTATTACAGTCTTTTCCTCCCCCAGCTTACGCGATCTATGTCTCCGTTCTTCCACGCACTCTTCAGTTTCTTTTTTTTTTTTTTTTTCATTTTCGAAAATATTGGATTTTTAGTAGATAATAAAATGTTGTAGCATTATTTTTAAAAAATTGTTAATACATTTAGACTCAGTTTATTTTGCAAAAATTATTTTTAAAAAATTTTTTTAAAAAATATTTATTTTTTCTAAATTGAAATAGTTTTTTTTATTGTTTCGATAAGTTAATAAAATTATTTTTTATTATTTGGTTGTTTTTTTAAATTTTTATAAATAATAGTAATTATTATTATTATTAAAATATTAAAAATATTTATTATTAAAATATATTAAAATTATTTATTATTAAATATATTAAAATTATTTATATTAAATTATTAATATTGAAAAATAACTATATTTTAATATTAATATTTAATATTAAAATATTGTGTTAATAAAAAATAGTTAAAATAAAACTTTTTATTATTCTTTATATTATTTGTCAATATATTATATAATATTTATTAATATGTTTATTTTTATATATATTATTTATTAATATATTATATATTATTTTTCAATATTATTTATTAATATATTATATTAATAGTATATTATTTATTATAATAATATTATTAATTAATATATTATAATATATTTACTAATAGTATATTATTTATTAATATTTTATTTTAATATATTAATATAATATTATTTATTAATATTAATATATTATTATAATATTATTTACAATAATATGTATTAAAATATTATTTATTAATATATTATATAATATAATATTATTTATTTATAATATAATATTATTTATAAGTAAAATTATTCTTAAAATTATTAATAAATAATTTTATTCATAGACAACTTTTTTTTAAAAAATATCTTTCTTTTCTCGAATCTGTAATAAAATTTCTAAAAAAATTATCTTATTTTTTATTAATTAATAAGTTATTTTTTATTGATCAACCAATTTCCTATAAAAAAAACATATAAAATTAAGAAAATATTTTTAAAAATTTATTTTTCTCAAAATAAACGTAGCCTTAATACAAGGATCCGCGTGAGATGAGGAGAAGAGGGAAATTCTCTTTTCCATATGTTTTTATTTGAAAATAAGGATAATAAGAATGAAAATCTCGTTGTAGTAAAAAAAATTAAGCACATATATATTTTAAATTCAAAAAATTAAATTTACAAATTTATATTAAAATTATTCGTAGAGAAGGTTCATTTGTCGGTACGTAGAAGTATGAATAGTTTTTATATTATTGATTATTCTTTATTTTAAGTTTGTAAAATTCTTTAATAGTTTTTATATTATTAGGTTCCATTTATTTCTTACAAAATAATTTTTTAAAAACAATTTTTTATTTTTAAATATTTATTTGATAGAAAATTGATTATTCAATAGAAAATAACTTGTTGATCTATAGAAAATAAAGTAATTATTCTAAAAACTATCTTACCCTTTTGAAAGGGGAAAGATAAATTTCGAAAAAAAAAAATTTGTGAGTAAAATTAATTATTAATGTATTTAAATATAATTTCACTCAAGCTGGATCTTATACGTAATTTTTTTAAGTTTAAACTTAATTTAACTCAACCAAAAATATTATTATATTTGAAAATAATATTTTATATAATTTGACTTAAAAATTAAAATATTAATATTAAAATTTTTTTACTCAAATAAGACTTTGAAAATAATATATTAAGTTCGACTTGATTTGATTTAAAATATTATTACATTAATAAAAATATCTTATTTAATTTTAATTAAAAAAATAAAATATTAATATTAAAAGTCTTTTGATATTTTAATTTTAAATATTTTTATTATGTGTATTATTAAACATAAATATTTTCAGTATTTCAATAATAAATATTAATATATTATTATTTTAATATATATAATAATCAATAATATTATTTTATTATTTTAATAAGTAATGTTTAATAATATAATATTATTATTATTTTCTTAATATGAATAATTTTAATAATTTTTTTTATTTTAAAATATATTTTTTATATTTTTATTTATTAAGATATTTATATTACTATTTTAATAATAAATATAAATAAAAAATTTTTTGTTATGATTTAGTAATAGATACTTTCAATATAAAATATAAATATTTTAATAGTATAAATATTTTAATAATAAATATTACTATTTTAATATTAATAAAAATAATATTTTAAGAATAGTATTACTATTCTAAATATTTTAAAAATATAATATAAAAATAATAAATAGTTTCATTTTAAGTATTTTATATTAAAATGATATTTTAATATTAAATATTATTATTAAAATATAATTATTCTTGAATATTAATAATTTTAGTAATAAATAATTTCAATATACTTTAAAAATAAATAATTTT